TTGCCTTCAATTGAAATTTTGATGTCTAAAAAGGATAAAGAATTGTCAGAAATCCAAATCATTTCTTTACCCCCACCGAAGCAGCCCCAAACAGTTTCTTTAGAAACTATCAGCCTTTATTCATGAGTACAAAAAGGCTCGAGTAGGGAACTTTGAGAGATTCATGGTTGTAGAATATTTAGCGAAACGCATAACATGGCTTGTTCGCTCTGCATTAGTAACATTACCACGAAACGTCAACGTTTGACTTACTCCCATAGATTTGATCTAAAATCAGGTGCACTCTCACGCCATTGTTTCGTATTTTATCTAACCTAACCCTAGCCCCAAGCTTAATAGAATTAATATTATCAACATTAATGTACCTTTGACTTTTGTAGATTTCTGTACACGAGTGGTACGCATCTGTAAAAGATAAAGTACATAATTACAAACGTATTTCGCATATTGGTGAGGTATATTTGCATAAATATCACCCCCAAACTGATGATATACATGCCTGCTTGGGATATATCAAGTAGTCGTGATTAGTTCAAACTTACGAAGAGCTGTTATTCAGAAAATGTCAGCTATTTGATTGACATTATGGACAAAAGCTGGTAGCTTCAGGAGCCATCTTAATAACTCTATTAAAATATGTTACTCATTACATATAAAAGAAATTGAGCTGAGCGAGGAGAGGCGAAAAAGGAAAACTCCATAATGTGCAGTGAACCAAACACTAGAACAAATCTCGGAACGGTATTCTCAAAGCAAAATCCTCGCTCTTCGTCTTAAACATATTTTTGATTGATTATCTTCACGCTGGTCCAATTGGATTAGATAGGATCAGCTCTTGATCTATGTCATCATATAGCTCCTACTTGGAAAATTTTACCTTCGCACATCAATCCATCTCCATAGTATCCAAGTTTACCTGTACAATTGTAGGATCCCTTGGTATTGCTACACACAGCATTAACACTGCAGCTGTGTATTCCCTCAGCGCACTCATCAATATCTGAAAATGATTTTCCTTGTTTTATTTGTAAATAACATGTGTAATAGTTTCCAACCTCATGGTCGTGTAAGTTTTTTCTTAAACTTTTCTTCAGCCCCTCACATACTTAGGATAGAGAAGTCCTCCCTAACCTTGTTTACGAAATACCTTAAACTTCGGATTTTCGATTATTACGTCACGAACTGAGATGTACGCGTGTTCATGTTTGTTTGTTTGGTGTGTCTGTTACTTTATAATTGTATTTTTTTTAGAAATTAAAACGTTTCTTACCTTCTTCACAAGTCTCGCCCCTAAACCCAGAGGAACACAGGCAACGATAACGTTTCTTGGTGACATCGCTTTGACAAGTGGAGTTGTTCTTGCATGGATCTTTCACGCAAGCATTCTGAAGAAACAAAAGAGATATGTACCATTCACTCTATGGTAAGGCTAGTAACGTCTATCTTTTTAAGACTTCACCATTCTGAAAATATAAGGCTGTTGTGAGACCTCTCCTTCCAAAACAAAAAAATATCTAAATTAAAACTAAAACTCAATTAAAAAAAAGAAAAAAAGAAAGAACAACAACAACAATCCTTTCATTGTGAAATGCGAATAGTTACACCCATATTTTGTTTTTCGTAAGTCAGCTTACTACATTTGAGCGGCCACCAGAATAAAGAAAAAACACTAGGACTGGGATGCAATAGATAAAAAGAATGATATTAAGTCGGTTGTGAACGTCTCTACCACTTCCTTGTGTTATTTGTATGTAACATTACTTCATTTGTATTTGTATTTGCTAACTGCATCTTCCCGCCTACCCTGTAGTACATGGTCTGGCAAAATCCTTTATTGGGACTTTAGTGATGGAAATAAGCTATCATTATGGGTTAAAGATAAAGATAACCCCTCACCTCAAAGTGAATATGATGCGAATACTTGTGTTCCTTGTACTCGTTAGTATCGTTGTACTTATGTGATGACAGTAACTCGCACCACAGTTCACCTTCAGAAGCCAGGTTTACGGAAACACACAGAGGATGGTAAAGGCAATTAAATATACATTCAAAGTCGTCGTAGGTAATTATTTCTTCTAGTTTAGGTGCATGGAGATAGTGAAAGTTGTCTAACGAAAGCAAACTCTGCCTGAACAGCTTTAGTGAGGTTTCTTGATTAACCACGGGCTCCAAGCTGACTGCTTCTGTCGGTTGAGAAAATTAACTCATTTTTCTTTTATTTTGGAGAAAAACAGATGCATTGGCACCTACCCTGGAAAATATGATTGGGATGCATTGATGATAATATATATCACAGTTAAACGATGTAAGCACGTATACGAGAGGGTTTCACTGGGATTAACCGTCAGCTGTAAAACGGCGAAATATTTAGCCGTTAGGCGTAACACTCGACTAATTTTAACCTATGGTCGTAAGAAAGTAATCCGTAAAAATATTCCTCTTAAAAACAATGGAAAGAAATTAATCCTTAGCCGTTAAATGGCAAAAATTTTAATCGGTAGCCGTTATAGCCATCGTTCCCCTAAGACCATCATGAAAAAAAAAAGATACAGTGCAAATTTAGCATTGTATAGAGTGTATACTCAACCAAAGAAGGAAAGTAATATGTCAAATTAAATTTGTCAACTCAAGATTTTGGATTTGGGACACGACATTGGTAGGCGCTTTTCAAAAGGGTTGTAGAGAGGTGAAATGTTTGCGCCTAATGCTAAATTTGAAACATGCAAAGAGGCAAAGTAATGTATTTACTACATTTGAGCCGACACCTTTCGACACGCATTCGCGAACACTTAGAAAGGGACAGGACCTCACATATCTTTCAACATCTTCAACAATCCCAAGCATGCCGCAATTCCTGATATGCTAACTGTTTTAAAGTTATAGATCATGCGACCACAAGATTCCAGGTCAAGATAAAAGAAGCGCTACATATTTCGTGGGAGCAACCTTCTTTAAAAAAGCAATTATATCACGTTAATTTAACACTTTCGTTCTATTTAACACGTCATATTATACACTCTTTTGTGATCTTTAGGTATTCTGTTAGTTTCAATAGCTTTTGTTTAGTACTACATTACAAATTCAAATGTAATTTCAAATCAGTTCTACTCTCAACTGAAGATGGTCGTTGAACGACCGAAACATGTCTTATAAATTTAGTTTCAAATGTGTCGTTATTTTTATAAAAACTGCTGTCAGTCTGCTCTTTTCCAGATCTAATTTGTCCAAGTAGATACCACATTTTTTCATTCTTGTCACGTGATACATAAGCTATGATCGTGATTCAAACCATTTAAAGGGAACATGGATAAGAACCAACTTGACCAACTTCGATTACCATAGGGGTCAAGAAACCGAGATTAAGAGGCTTTGAAGTCTTCCTTAGCAACAGACTATTAGTGAAGTGCCAACCCCCTTGAACGTGCCCTATCTGACGCTTGTTAGGAGTATTAATCCTTCATGAGACATCAAACAAGTCTGGCATTTCTAACCATTTTCGAATTTCAACGGAGATAACATTTTATAATATTGGTTTTAACCAGCCTCCTCTTTTTTTTATTTTATTCAAACCACCTTATTCGTTTTGCCTCCAGCTATGAAGTTGGCATTTGTACCTTCCAGACTAAAGATCATTGAATAGTTATATTTTTCATGCAAATAGTTTTAACTTAGATTGATGAATGAAATAAAATAGGAAGTTCTGCTTTTTCTCAGCCAAACGTATAAATTATAAACTTTGTAAAGAGGATTAAATATCAAAGTTATTGAAACTAATAGTAAGTACAGATTAGTGAAACCGGCTAATGTGGCTCTACTCAAGGTAGCATCTTTCAGATTTTCGCTTCACGGTGTCAAATTCAATCTCGGGGTAAAAATATTATACAAAAAGCTATTTAGTGACTGCACCGATAAAGAACTTATTTGCAGGTCTTCTAATCACGACTCAAATGCTGTGTATACGATGAGTTAATAATTTGTGTTTCTCGCTTGACCACGACAGTTTTATTGGCTTTTTGTCAGAGAAGCGGGGCTCTTTGCTGAGATACAGGTTAGAATTCACCAGCGGGTAAATACATGCTAGAGGAACGGTGCAAAAAAGGATGAGTCCTTGTATTGAGGCTGAAATTCAATTCCGTGATAGTTTTCTTTACTCAGATCGAACGCAGTGATGGTGTAACTAACCTTTTGATGAGACAAACGCAGTCATGATAAGGCTTATATGCAACAGAAAACAAATAATATGCGAAATATGCATGGCGCGGATCAATCTCAAATAATAACTACCCCAGAGATGTGGGAACGTTTATGAATAATCTTCGTCAGAGTTTGCTACTTTACAACACAATTATTATTTGATGAATGAATTTATCAAACAGTGACACGCGTCTGAAAATATTTGGATCCCATGATTCGGCAAAAGGAAACTGAAAGAAAACGTCCTTTCATTTATCCTGATATAGCTGGCTGTAAGTTTTAGAAATGTGCCAAAACTATTTTACTCCAATAGGGCTCCAAAGTGTATTCAGCCCTATTCAAATTAAACTTGAAAACATTCGATCACCGTATGTACTCCACGGTAGCTTGTTATTAATCTCTAAAAGGCTTTTATTATCATTCCGCAGCCTTATATTGAAAAGTTCTCTGGTATAGAGAAGAATACAATGTCGCATCGCAAGTATGATCTTGAAAGGAGATTGTTGCGCTATGGGGCTGCAAGAGACAGTGCTGAAAATGCCGATTAAAAGCAGTAAGTTGTGTCCTCTTGTATTGGGGCAATATAGCTTTAACAGTCTTCTCAACTATGTGTCCATCAGGTGGGATATGCGAAAAATAATATCAGGCAAGTCATTTTAGTTGCCCCGCAGCCCCGACCTGTTTAATTCCCATAGAATAAATTCAAACTAGATTGATGAAGGAGTTCTACTACTTTTTCTCACGTGTAGGCTATAAACTTAGTAAAGAGGCACGAGCATCAAAGTTTTTAAAACTAACAGTGAGCACAGATTAGCGAAACCAGCTAATGGAACTCTACTTAAGGTAGCATCTTTCGGATTTTAGTTTACTTTCGGTTCACGATGTCAAATTAAGTTTCGGTGTAAAATAATTTGGTAATTGTTAGAAGGAAGCTGCACTCGATATTGGCCTTCAAAGAGCTATTTAGCGACTGCACCTCTAAAGAACTTATCTGCAGGTCTTATAACTACTATTTAAATGCTATTTCTATACGATGAGTTGATAATTTGTTTCTCTCTTGATCATTAAAGTTTGATTGACTTTTCGTCGGAGAAGCGGGGCTCTTTGCTGAGATACATGTAAGAATTCACCAGCGGGTAAATACATGCTAGAGGAGCGGTGCAAAACAAAGGGTGAGAACTTGTATTAAGGCTAAAATCCAACTCAGTGATAGTTTTCTTTACTTAGATCGAACGCAGTGATAGTATAACTAACCTTTTGGTGTGACAAAAGCAGTCATGATAAGGCTTAACAGCAACCGAAAGCAACTAGAATACGAAATATCCATGGCGCGGATCAATTTTCAAGAATAACTTCCCCAGAGATGTGGAAACGCTTATGAATAATCTTCGTTAGAGTTTGGTTTAAAACTTCTGTTTCATCCAGAACTCCTGATTTCCGTCTAACCAATGAAACCTGGATGGCGTTGTTTTGTTTTCTTCTCGATATAAAAGTTTTCTTTGTTATTAGTGCAAATAGTATTTAAATCCGAAGGGTGTGGCAAAATTATTGAAACTACTTCGCTGTTCTTCTTTAAAAGACAATTAATGATTAATGAACGAATTCAATAAACAGTGACATGAGTCTAAAAGTACTTTTGTCTTAAGATTCGGAAAGAAACTAAACAGAAAGAAAAAAGCCTTTCATATCCTGATATAGTTGGCTTAAAATTGTCTTCAGCCTTATTCTAATGAAAGTTGTAAAAAATTATTTTATTCAATGTCCTCTAAGGTATCTTGTTGTTAATCTCTAAACGGCTTTTCTTATATTTTCGCAGGCTTATATTGAAAAAAGTTCTCTGGCAAATGTAAAAACACAATGTCTCAGAACGGGTATGATCTTGAAATGAGATCATTACGCGACGGGGTTACAACAGACAGTGTCGAAAATACCATATGAAAGCAGTCAAATGTCTCCTCTTGTGTGGAGGTTAGAACTTTAAAAGTCTTCGTAACAATATATCCATCGGGTGCGAAGTGCAACCCTGGCTTGTTTAAATTCTTAATTCAAGATGCCTTTCAGTGATTTAAAAATTTTTTTACATGGCTCATTTCTGAAATGAATAATACGGTTTCTATAGAGATAACATGACCTAAGCTTTCCGAATAGATACCTGAAAACAATTGAAAAACATACTCGACTAGTTTTCCTTTTAGTTGAAAAATAAAAAAAAA